AATAAATACTAGTAAGAGCTCACAGTACATATCACATCAATGGGGTAGATACCTAGGGAAGGAAGTAAGAGTTAACAAAAAGTGCAATCAAAACAAAAGAGTGCAATCAACACAAGATCATTGTAGGGGATAGAAGAAGAAGAGCACAGGAAGTGCATGTTAGATGTTAGGAGTTAGAGGTGTTATAAGAGGAAGTGTTCTCGGAAGAGATGAGTTTTCAAGAGCTTCTTGAAGTTAGAGAGGGACGCCCCTGCTCTGACGGCGTGTGGTAGCTCGTTCCACCATCGTGGTGTCACAGATGAGAATAGCCGGGACTGGGATTGCTTTGTGTGAAGGGATGGCAGAGCCAGGCGGCGTTCATTGGAGGAGCGTAGCGGCCGAGAAGGAACGTAAGTTTGTATTATGGAGTTTACGTAGATGGGTGCAGACCCAGTGGTCACTCTGTATGCAAGCATTAGTGACTTGAATTTGATTCTGGAGGCCACGGGGTACCAGTGGAGGTCACTGAGTAATGGAGTGACATGAGTCCTTTTGGGCTGATCAAAAACCAGACGCGCTGCTGCGCTGTCGATGCGAGAGATAACCATGGCCTGTACCAGAAGCTGGGTGGCGTACTGAGTGAGGTAGGGCCTGATTTTCCTTATGTTGTATAGAGAAAAGCGGCATGACCGAGAGACAGTAGCAACATGGTCTGAAAAGGACAGCTGGTCATCAATCACGACACCCAAGTTTCTCACCACCTTGGTTGGAGTGATGGTTGAGGAGTCAATTTGTAGTGTGATGTTATGGTGGACAGATTGCTTGGCTGGAATGACCAAGAGTTCAGTCTTAGAGAGGTTTAGTTGAAGGTGGCAAGCCTTCATCCATGCAGATATGTCCGCGCCGAGACAGTTGGATCGCCTGGCGGGAAGGATAGGTAGAGTTGCGTGTCGTCTGCGTAGCAGTGGTAAGAGAAGCCGTGCGAGCGAATGATCAGCCCCAGTGAGGTGGTGTAAACTGAGAAGAGAAGGGGCCCAAGCACTGAGCCTTGGGGCACCCCTGTGGAGAGGCAGTGGGAGGAGGATAATTGTCCTTGCCACAAAACATTGTAGGAACGCCCCGAGAGGTAGGATTCGAACCACAGGAGTGCTTTACTCGAGATGCCCATTGCTGAGAGAGCGGATAGCATGATCCTGTGGTTGACTGTGTCAAAGGCCGCTGATAGGTCAAGCAGGATAAGAACTGAGGATTGGGCTGCAGCTTTAGCTGACCTTAGGGCTTCTGTTACAGACAGAAGAGCCATTTCAGTAGAGTGGGCACTCTTAAAACCAGACTGATATGGATCTAGGAGGTCATTCCCTGAGAGGAATTCTGAGAATTCTGTTTGAATACTGCCCGTTCAATAGTTTTGGATAAAAAAGGTAGAAGAGACACTGGTCGATAGTTCTCAACTTGAGTTGGGTCAAGTGAGGGCTTTTTGAGCAAGGGTGTAAACCGAGCCCTTTTGAAAGTGGTCGGGAAGGTTCCTGAAGCCAGAGAAGTATTTATCACATGAGTGATTGTCGGGAGCACAGTAGGAGATATGGCTTGAAGGAGATTCGTAGGAATCGGGTCCAGTGGGCATGTAGTTGGACGGCTACAGGTCAAGAGTTCTGATACTTCGCTCTCTGTGAGAGGAGTAAACGAGGAGAGTGAACAACCACTGACCTGGAAGGGCAGAGGAAAAGATGTAGTAGGACTGCTACAATGGTTGAGTTTGAGTGTTTCAGAGAATTGGCTAGTTATAGCCTCCACTTTGCCTGTGAAGAAGGCAGCAAAGGTATCAGCAGACAAGTTTGTGGGTGGTGGAGGTGGAGGAGGATTTAGTAGTGCTTTAAAAGTGGAAAATAATTTCCTTGAGTCAGTGGCACTGCTTATTCTGTCATTATAGAACGCAGTTTTGGCAGCACTGATGCTTGTTGAGAAGGAGGATAGAGGCAATTGGTAGCCCTTAAGGTCGGCGAGGTCTTTGGTTTTTCGCCATTTTCTTTCAGCCGCTCTGAGATCAGTATGGAGCCCACAGACGGTATCAGTTAGCCACAGGTGGGGCTGGTTTGGGCGAGCAGGCTTGGTGGATAGAGGACACAGTCTATCCAGGCACGAGCTTAGTGTAGAGCACAGAGATTGTGTGGCATCATTGACCTCAAGTGAGGAAAATGTGTTGAGGGAGGGTAGAGCGGAAGCTACCACTGAGGCAAAGTGAGTGGGAGACAGGTTGCGGAGGTTGCGGCGGTGTGAAACCAATGGTGTTGGAAGAATGGGCTTTTCCTGTAGGCATACTGTGAACTGAATGAAATAGTGGTCAGACACATGTAGAGGTGTGACTGTTAGGCACTCTGTGGCACAGTTTCGGACAAGAACGAGGTCAAGCACCTTGCCAGCTTTGTGGGTCGGGGGGGTGAGAACCCGTGTTAGATCAAAGGACTGAATCAGAGACAGGAAGTCTGCTGAGTTTGAATTGTCTAAGTGAATGTTCATGTCACCGAGGATAAGTAGGGGACAGTCATGCTCTGGGATTGAAGACAGCAGTGTGTCTAGCTCCTCCACAAAGCTACCCATTTGTCCTGGTGGACGGTATATGACAATCACAGAGACCTTTACCGGAGCGGACACAAAGACAGCAGGGTATTCGAAGGAGGCATATTGATTCGGGGGTAGCAGCTGTGTGAATTTCCATTTGTTGGAAATTAAGAACCCAGTCTCACCCCCCCTCCCAGACGGCCGGGTGTCGGCTGTGTGGGTGAAAGAGTAATTAGTTTTCTGGTTTGATCCAGGTCTCAGTGAGCGCCAGAAGTCCAAGAGATAATGTGTTAGCATAAGCAGTGATGAAGTCAGCTTTGTTGACTGCCGACTGGCAGTTCCATGACCCAACAGACAAGTAAACAGATGTGGGTGGTGCCTGTTTTAAAGGCTTGAGGAGTGCCTGGTTTATGTGCCTGATGGCATGATACCTCTTGCGTGGACCGGAGACAATAGGAATAGTGTGGTAGCACATGGCCTGAGTGTTGTTGTAGCTGGCAGCTTTAGGTGAGTAGGTGTGCCTCAGAAAGGGAAAAAGCTTCTCATGTAGGCAGCCTTGCTCAGTGGACTCGCGCAGGTAGACTTGCAAGTCCTGTGTTTAAGAGTACAACAGGAGTACAAGTACTCTGTTAAATGCTTTGGATCGCCTTCCGGATTAACAAGACAAAAGCTTGGTTTCAGTGGGTGGGACACACACCCAGTTGTTTGATCTCGCTCAGCCGGCCTTCAGATTCTAGTGGATTGCTCAGTAAAAGTGCAAAGAAATAGCACATCAAGAGTAGGAAAGATAAAGTATTACCTCACTGCTGCAAACTCTTATTTGCCCCACGATTCTTGTCCTGTGTTTAATGAAAATGATAATGAAACAATATTACCTGTATTGCCAATGTATCATTAACTGCAACAGTATTGCTTCAGTATTAACAATCTAATAAAGACATGCTATAATGTATCAATCACAGGGGGTATTTTCTATCAGAATGAGTACTTTTATTTTTACTGTTCCGTAAGTATTTTAAGTAGGATTTTAATGCAGGAAATATGTATTGTTATTTTGGTACTTTGAGTAAGTAAAGGGTCTGTGATCTTCTTCCACCAATGGTTTAAATCTCTAACATTATGATTTTTGTTTCTTAAATTAGTTAAAATGTATCTTTATCTACTTTTTAGTCACATATATCATATGACTAATCCAGCTGTAGGATGGATAAGTGTGGTGCTGTGAGTCTGGATGGTGGGTGAGCTCGGTTGGGTGGGTATGGCTTTCATACTAGTCAGTCAGTGGTCAGCGTCGGTCCAACTGGAGGGTTTAGGAAAGATGGAAATTATTTAGCATTTAACACTTATGTTTATTTTATGTATCTGATAAAACAACACTGATTTAGACCATCCATACAAAAATCTGTTTTCTTGCTGCAGACTGAGGAGATGCTGTAGTACATAGTGAATTTGATGTTGTGCAAAGTGTTAGTTTATACGGTTGTGCTGAGGCTTCTTGCACATGCTCTGTTTTATTTTGCAGATTTGTTCTCTTTTGATTTGCAGAAATGTTAAGTAAATTAAATAGAAAACAAATCCCTTGAAAAGCCTGAAACCAACAATGAATATATCCTGCTATCAAGTATTGTGTGTGTCTTCAAAGCCTGATATGTTTGATATGTATGACATTTTTCACAGTAGACATTTTGACTTGTCATAGTAGGGAAAGTACAGGTGTTGCTAATATGATTAACAATGTCCCAGGAAGTCATGACACTGTGACAGTGAGCGAGCATGAACAATACCAGGACCTTGAAACGGATGCAGCTAAATGGAATTCAGACAGCATTCAGTTAATTATTTACACCTGAACTTTTTCTACTGGCACATGTCAAAGTGTCTGCAGTGAGCCTCGCTGCTGCACTGGGTGACACGTTACTTCATCACCATCAACACACACGCTGTAGTTTATTCTGACTCAGTCCCACATATACCGTCCTGCTGCCCCATATATTCACTATCACCACAAGTGGATTCATCCACTGCTGAAAATAGTCCCCAACAAATGCACTACTATTTCATCCTGCTTGATTTACTTACTGAGCTTTTTTAGCCTTTTTTAAACCAGACTGAGTTTCAGCCATAGACTGTGTGTAAAAAGGTTCTGTGTGGCTGTAGACACAGCAGTGCTTTGAGCTGAACAATGTTAACATGCTGATGTTTGACAGGTATATTTACTATGATAACCGCGTGTGTGTTAGCATGCTAACATTTAGCTAATAAGTAAACACAGCGTAGGCTGACAGCTGAGCCTGTCTGAGGTGGACTAACTGACCAACTTTTAGCATGAAACTACATAAGTGTTCAGATGTACATCTTCAGTAGGAACTAATGGGACTGTGAGTCACAAACAGGGTCGGTATGTCAGAAAATATTGAGAGATGCACTAACACATTGTTGGTTTTGGTCTCCACGACAGTCACCATATCAACCATGGATCCTCCCTTCCACAATGGTGTAGACACTGAAGCCTCCACACCACTTAACCCTCTCCAAGACTTGGAGTCACCTCACTGGCAGGGCGGTCTGGCTCTACCCTGCTGGCTCCTTTACTTTGAGCCCATCATGGCCATCAGTGTTGGCACACTGCTGTTTGGATCAGGCAAAGCCCTGTCCCCGCTCTACTTCACCCAGGTGGGTAATGTTCCCTACATGCTGGGGTCGTTGTTCGTCTCTGTGGGTCTGATTTTCCTGGTCATTGGCCTGGTCTGGATCCCTGTGCTCAAACAGAGCCTGTAGCACAAGGTCGTCCCCAAGGTCAACCATGGCAAGGAGTTCCAAGTGGAGTGCAAACATCCCTGATGGGGAACTCAGACTGAAACCACTGGGACAAATGAACCACCTGCTTTGAAAGCATAAAGCGCTACATACAAAAGTGTATGATAATCACACCTTGGGACTTATTTTTGATATAAATGGTCATACAGGTTAGACACGACAGTGAATTTTGGATCCTGTGTTTATGGAGCTTGACCAGCAACTAGAAGTCAGGACATCTTGGCCTGTGATGAGCATTTTTAATTTGTATCTGTATAGCTTGATCATCACACTGAATTAGCGTTTTGTTTCACCTCATTATGCAGTCTGTTATCGTGTTTATATTAGGCCGTTTTCTGTTGCTGGGATGGATTTTAGCAATGATGATGTCATCAAGTCCCCCCTCCCCTAGAGAAATGTGATCTGCCACCAAAAGTAAAGTATGAAAATGTTTTTTATAAATTGGATTTTTTGCTCTTTATGTTGCTGACAGTTCAGTGACAGTACATTGTGTGGGAATACACTAATCTCTGTGTAATCACAGAACATGAAGGTCTGTGTACTGTGTCTCCTAAATGTCAGTATGAGCAACCAGTTTTCTTGTGATTTATGGGGAGACCAGTGTGCCAAGACTTCCTTTTTTCTATTTAATATCATATCCCTGAATTACTGTTTCCTTCTCTATTCAAACTTGAATCAATAACTTCCTTACCAATTCATACAACTACTATTGTTCTTTTTATTATTATAGGGGTTAATTAGATCGGCAGGGAAGTATATTACCTACCACTTAAGTGCATAATGTTGAAGTACATACTGAATTGTACTAGCTGCAGATTCATCAGACATGGACAAATCACAGCAGGATGGCCAGCTGGGTAATAGTCATGTGTGGGGCCATCCATTAGAGTAGGCTGCAGTCTGGAGAGATACAGAAGCCATGTAAAAGGTCATATAGGCACAAATGATAACAGTCTAGGCATTTAAAGAGGGTGGGCCTCAAAGTGTCAACCAGTGATATGGAAGCATCAGACACCACGTCGGAATCCAAAGGCAAGATTCATAAATTTCACATGTCTTTTTTTTTTTTTTTAACATTTTAGGAGTACAACCCCACAAGAGTACAACCTGTTAAGATGTTAAAACTTGGCTGGTAATTGCAAAGATCTTACATGATAAATGAACCACATGTTTGTGGCCAGAATAACTAGGGGCAGTTAGTTAAATGTTTGCAATGCCGATTTAACAGTTTAAAAGTGAATACGTGTTGTGTGACCTTCTGGGGGAAATATCTCCAGTGTTCATTTTCTGGGTTGTATTTGATGAATATGTCAAATGTAGTAAAACATTTACTGGAATTTGTGTTTGTCTCTGACAGGCTGTCAAGCTGTCCATCTGTCTCATTGTGTCCTTGTTGGTTATTGCTCTCTATTATTTATGATTATTTATGATTACTGAGGCAGAGAAATGCTACTGGACATATCTACCTCTGATTGTTCCGAGGTCAACATGGCCGCTGGTTCCATGCACGCACACACACACACACACACACCAGCTTTTTAATCTGCAGCATGTCCATCTGTCTGTATGCACTATGCAAATATATTTGAAAGTGTTCAGTGAGATAACAGTAGCATACACTCACCGGCCACTTTATTAGGTACACCTGTTAACACACCTGCTTGTTAACACAAATAGCTAATCAGCCAATCACATGGCAGCAACTCAATGGTCAAGACAACTTGCTGAAGTTCAAACTGAGCATCAGAATGGGGAAGAAAGGGGATTTAAGTGACTTTGAACGTGACATGGTTGTTTGTGCCAGACGGGCTGCTCTGAGTATTTCAGGACCTGCTGATCTACTGGGATTTTCACGCACAGCCATCTGTAGGGTTTACAGAGAATGGTCTGAAGAAGAGGAAATATCCAGTGAGCGGCAGTTGTGTGGACAAAAATGCCTTGTTGATGTCAGAGGTCAGAGGAGAATGGGCAGAATGGTTCCAGGTGACAGAAAGGCAACACTAACTCAAATAATCACTCGTCACAACCAAGGTATGCAGAACACCATCTCTGAACGCACAACACGTCCAACCTTGAAGCAGATGGGCTATAGCAGCAGCTCCTGTCAGCTAAGAACAGGAAACTGAGGCTACCGTTCACACAGGCTCACCAAAACTAGACAATAGAAGATTTAAAAATGTTGGTCGCCTGGTCTGATGAGTCTGGATTTCAGCTGCGACATTCAGAGGGTAGGGTCAGAGTTTGGCGTAAACAACATGAAAGCATGGATCCATCCTGCCTTGTATCAACGGTTCAGGCTGCTGGTGGTGGTGTAATGGTGTGGGGGACTTTGGGACAATTGAGCAGCGCATTTAAAAACGACCTGATTATTGTTGCTGACCATGTCCATTCCTCTATGGCTACTTCCAGCAGGATAATGCACCATGTCACAAAGCACAAATCATTTCCTGGACTCCACAGTTACCAGATCTCAATCCAATAGAGCACCTTCACACACATCATGGATGTGCAGCTGACAAATCTGCAGCAACAGAGTGATGCTATCAAGTCAATATGGACCAAAGTCTCTGAGGAACGTTTCCAACACCTTGTTGAAAGTATGCCAGGAAGTATTAAGGCAGTTCTGAAGGCAAAAGTGGGTCCAACCTGGTACTAGCAAGGTGTATCTAATAGTGGACAGTGAGTGTACATATATATGTCTGTAAATGTAGCCTGTTTTTCTTAAGTTGATTCAACACATTTCCCTTTAAGTCTAGGCTTTGAATCACTTCAAACTTTAATACCAACATCCGTCAACCAGCAACATTAATGCTGAGACGGAGATTATGACACTGAACGCATAGAATAATCTCTTCCACAATAAAAGAGGATTTATAAGATCTTTATTTTCATCAGGCAGCCCACTGGTAACCAGACCGGCGGAGCAGGTGGCCATGGCAATGATGACCCTGCAGGACCAGCCGTAAAAAACAGCTGTATGGAAAAAGGTTTTATATGTTGTTTTGGTACACCTCCCGAAGGTCGTAGCTAAAGCAAGAAGCAAGCTAACGTTAGAAGGCCAACGCGGAGCTAAACATGTTTACTAACCTCAGGTTACTAACATTTTTTGGGATGAACACTCACAAACATCTTAACCTATTTTGCGTTCAGCGCTTCTTTGTTTGGGTCTTGTTGTATGAAGTTTTAAAGCCAAAGTTTATGATGAATGGCTCAGCAGCTGCCGAGGGAATAACAGTGAGCTCATCAAACATTTCCTGAAATAAACATTGTTCACGAGTCCTGCAACTCGAGTCTGAGTTGAGTCTGAAGTCTTTTGAGGGCGAGTCTCAAGTCGAATCTGAAGTCACTGTGTGTGCGACTTAAGTCGGACTCGAGTCCGAGTCTCAAACTTGAGTCCCCATCTCTTGGGGTGTGTAGTCAATAGGTGAGGCCTTACTCACAGAATAACACAAAATGAAAAATATAAAGTGGGAATTGTGGAAAGTGATTCTTATTTTTGCTTTATATTTAAAGCAAGTTTGTATGATTTGTTTTTTTTGTGTGATTTGGCCTCTACTGTTTCAGAGTGTAATTCACCGCTGTGGTAATTAAGGACAGCTGTACACATGCATTTGTTATGATTACATTGCGATCAAAAACTACAAAGTTGCCAACTTTGCTAACACAGCTAGTTCAACAGAAAGGATGCCAGCTTGGTGCGTGTCCTGCAGCCTTTTATTTCACAAAGTTCTCTCCTACGTCCAGCAGCCTCTTGCTTCATCTCCCTCTTTTTCTCTTTTTAGCTTCCTCTGTGTCCATAGAGGCTGCTGAGCCTGGTTATGTTGCCCACTCATTTGACTCTTGCATGACACCAGCGCCACTCTCCACTAGCAGCAGCATAATGTTGCTTGAACTTGGGTGGTAGGCTAGCCAACAAAGATAGGCAGCTACAGCACCTACTGTAACATTACCAGTGTCCAAGTGTGTTATCTAGTAAGTTTGCTAACATCAATTCCAGATTTATAGCTAGCAGCTAAACCTCTGTATGTGTAACAGATTTATTGATTTGGCCATTTATTGATTTATTTCTAGTTGACATCTTTCCTAACAAAGGCAAACATCAAGCAAATGCTTGATTTACTTTCCACACCCAATAAAGGAAAACAAATGAATGCACCAGAAACCTGTGAATGCACACTGATGTACAGACCGGTCCTACATGGTTTTCAATGAAAATGACACTAATGATGTAAAAACGATCATAGTATATAGTATTGCAAATCATAGCGCAATTGCATCAGTCAAAATAATTGCAATTAGATATGTTTTGAAAATCATTCAGCCCTAATACAACCTGATTGTCTACTGTTTCATTAGAATAACCACTTAGGTTAATCTAACACAGCAGCATAGTTAACTCCTGTCTGGGTTCTTTTCTAACTCACTCTTCTACATGTACTTGTCTCTGTTGGTGTCCCTAGGGAACATGGAGTGCCAGTTTGATAGTAAGAAGCTACTATGCCTCCTCTGATAGACGTGGATTCACCTTGTTTTCATCGCCCCCCCCGGTGGAGTTCTCCATTGCAGGCCTGATAACTTCATTGTACAACACACAAAAGCTGGTGGAGATAGCCTGAGAGAAAGGACATGGAGCATGGTGATGCGGAGGAATTTTGTTTGTGTGACACATTAAATGTAGTTTAAAAAGTAACTAAAAGTAAAATGTCGTGAACATCAGCAGCATCTCCTAGAATCTTGTATTTACAGTAGAAAATCAGAATGTAATCCTTAATGAGGACGTTTCAACAAAACTGATCACAGTTCCAAATTTATAGTTTAGTATATTTTTTTAGGCTAAATGAATTAACTGGCTATCAGTTTCCTTTTCTGCAGGGTGGTGCCCCAAGGTGAATTTAACACAAGTTAAATTATACTATTAATTATGAATAATTGTAATAATAATTATTATATTATTTAATATAAATATTGATATTTAAACCTTATTTCCCAACAGTGATGATCGAAAGCCTGTTTTATATTCCTCCGTCACACTGCCGCATAGCATTCTTATTCGGGTATAAAAGGACAAAACCATTTTAATGTTGTTTTTTTTCATTTTCATTTGATCCTAAACACGGTCAAATGTAAATATGATGCAGTCTACAGCTACCTGCTACCCTGCTGAAAGGGTCTGTGCTTCAGAATGGGTACTTTTACTGTGACACATGTAATACTGTTGAAACTACTTCCTGTTTCATGTTGGAACAGTCTGTTATTACAGAACACCAAGTACCTGCCTGACCAGCTGTTTGTGCTTGTTTCCTTTTTCATTCATGTGATAAGTGAATAACCAACAACACTTTAACACTTTAATGATCATGGAGTTTAATCAACAGCAACATTTGACATTATGATATTACATTATTTACTGCAGTGCATGGCACTGTGTGACCATGACTCTGCCAGGGCTTGTGAGTATTGTGTTGTTGCTGTTTGTGTGTGTGTGTGTGTGTGTGTTGCAGATTCATTCAAGAACCCTCCCCTGGCACCACCTTGTGTTATGCTGTAATTTAGATCGTATAGTTTACTTATTCATCATTATCTTTTTCTAGCAGTAGGTGTTCCCTGCTTGGTTTTACATTTGTCAAAACAAATGAATCTCAGTTAAAGAAAAGGTCTTTCTTTTAGTTAATCACTCAGTGTGCTTCCCTTGCATCAGATGCTCTTGTTAGGCTACTTTTATCCACCACTGTATATTAGACTCGGAAAGACCCAGTTCACACTTTTAACACATTTAATTATTTTACTGGCTTAATTTATATTTATTTATAGCATTACTGAAAGTGGAACGGAAGGTGACTCCAGGTTTGTTCTTCAGATAGGCAGTCAAGTGAATATCTCAGTGTCACATTGTGGCAGACACGCGGGGTCACACTGACTGCAGCTGAATCAAATAGGCTTGTCGATTTCCGGGCAGGTAGGCTGGTGCTTTCAGCCCCTCCTCAGGTGAGCACCACGCCCCTCCTCTGTGAGTCTAAAAGGCAGCCGACCTGAGCAGGACTGGGCGCCTCACCTGGCTCACCTTACAGCCGCTCAGAAACTCAATACACCGCACAGAGGCTCCGGGAAATAAGAAGCTGTTGTCAGAGACCTCAGCGTCTCTTCGGAGGCCTATAGCCTAGCCTACTGTATGCTGACATGGAACCAGCCTACCGGGGTCTGGGTCGCTGTGTGTGCTGTTTCTGGCTCGCGGTAGCCTTTGACATTGCGGGACTGGGTGTACTTCTGGTCGGGGTGTTTGTGAACGTGTTTTTCTATGACCTGCTCATCTACGCGGGCGCCATCGTCATCTTCCTCAGCCTCATCTGGTGGGTTTTCTGGTACTCTGGGAACATCGAGGTGCCACTGGCGGAGCTGGAGGACGATGTCGGGTTACTGAAGAAGGATAAGGGCGGTCTGAGCGGCATCAGCGGTGCGGTGAGGCGCCTCTCCAGTCGCCTGTCCAGCGGCATCAGGAACTCGTTCCGCAGGAACGGAGGACCGTCCAGCACCCGCACGGCCCGCGCGCCCAGGTCAGCCGGCGGGCAAACGGCGGCCCCGCAGGCTGAGCAGGTGGCCGTTGCCATGGGAACGATGACCCCGCAGGAGGATACCCCACACACTGCTATTGAATCCTCTGTGGCGCGTGAGGTAGAGATGCCACACACAACAACAGAGACGTCACCGAGGCAATATAATGTCACAGGTGAGGAAGAACACGCACTTTAAAGAAATGATAGAATATATGACTAAAACGAGGATTGTGGGAAGCTATGACGTTTCAACAAAGAATTCTCATTGTTTGGCCCACAGGCCTATAGCCTGTTTAAACATTTGGAAATTCAACTTCCAGTATCTACAGTGTAACAGTAGCTTTATACTAGTAACATCCCCCAATGTGACCCCATCCAACTGAGAAAACCTTTAGGCTACCAGCCGCCCAAAACAGGGAGGCATTTTCTCATATAGGCTATATATTTATATACATTTCTTTATTTAGAACAGTGCAATTAGTTTTTCTGTAAATCTGATGTCCTTTAGTGATGACCAAAAGGCGGTTATGAAGGCATCTTCACAGTGCCACTCTTACTGTAGTGAAAAAATACAAAACCTTTTTAATTTCATTCCATTTCTCTTGTTTTTCCTTGACCCTACTGTCAAATGTAGAAAAAAAGAGCTCAAACATGACCAATATGCTGTAAACACAACCAGGTGTCATTTGTGGGTAATTGTAGAATGTGAAATCCTCCTCAGGCCTTTAAACTCCAAATTCACAGAAATAACACAACATCCTCAGTAGCAGCTATGGCCTCCATACCTTCCGCTTTCAAAGGCAAAAGTTTGATTTTAAGGGAATAAAGCTAAATTTGATACAAATGATCTTTTTTAAGAGTGGAAGTGAATATCCAAATATCAACCAAGTGAACTGTATTGTATGGTATTTATATGTTGTGAGATTATATTAGATTAATATAAAACATGTAAACAAGTCTCAAATGTATTGGAGCTCTGTACACACAATAATTTTAGTCTGTTCTATGTTAAATGTATTCATTTTAAGAAGGTTTATATTGCATAGATGATCTTTATTTAATACTATATTCTACAACACTAGGACTATGAAAAATATCTGTTATTATGAGGGCATCCGCTTAGTAGTACAACTTTATTTTCTTTCAGTTTCATAGTTTAAATGTGGAAAAGTACCTGTGGCTATGCCAGTAAAATTCTTATCACTGGATAAATCATTAACCACAGTTGACCGTTCACTGAAAGACAAGCCTTTAATCTAAACAATAGCAGGCTTACCTGAACTTCCTGAAAACCTCGGCATCCACCGATTCATTTAAAGGTCTGTGAGAAAACCCAGAAAGGACTTTCTGATCACCACCTGTCAACTCAGACACTAAACTCACCTGCACGTGCTTTAATAACGATGTTTCTACTCCACAGTGACTTGATGAGAGCCTGCCCTACAGTGTCTTCACTTGACTCCAGTCGATGCTCAGCTTTTCTACTGTTTGTGTGTTTAATGAGATATCATCATTTGATGATGATATCTGTAAGAAGTGTTAGCAGTTGCTGAGTCGTTATTAAATCACTTAGTAAAATGTAAATTCCACAATGAATGTTATGTTTTTAATCAGTATGGCAGCATGGATGCAGTCTGTTTGAGATAAGTGGACTGAATGTTGTCCCCATTAATCACTCAGACCCAAAAATTGGGAAAATTGCTGGAAACCATATTTGCTTTCTGGTACCACGTGACTCACAAACGAACTGCAAAACAACTGCATTTGGAGACACCCATTTCTCTGACAGACTTTGTTCTACTCATATTTTAGATTTTTTTGTTTTTTATTTTATTTGTGACTGTTTAAATTGTGTATATGTGATGACTGCTTTGTGTGACTGTCTTGTTGTGATGATATATCTAATATATCTCTCTTGTAGAAGAGGTTTTGAGACTTCCTTATTTAAAAAAAAACATCACTACATCATGACTAAGAAAAGTTTGAGTAAAATAGGCTACCTTTATAACATAACATTATGTGAACAGCTATTACGGTATTTCAGTGTCCAAGAATGTCTTACATGAGTGGGGTTTCATTCTTTAAGTTGAAAGACAAGATATAGATTTACTGAGAGACAAATAAAAAAAAGAAAGATTACGTTTGAAATACATTTTGATACATTTTTGCAATGCACATACACATGGTTTGTGTTGTGCCTCTATCATTATTCTCCATCCAGTGTAGTGTGGGGTTCCTCAAGGGTCCATCCTCGGTCCGTAACTGTTTTCTAATTATATCTACCATTTTTATTTAGACGATATGCAGTGAATCCTATTGATCTGTATTGATTCTTCATGACCCCCGAATAAACCGTTTCAGTTTTGTAACCTCCTGGTTGCAATACTTAGCACACTTCTCCCTTGCTTGTGTTTAAAGCAAATTTTTAAAACTAACAAGGTATTTAATGACAATGTGAAAACAATGTGACAGTGTAAAATGGGTTGCTCGTAGTGATGAACCTAAAGAGAATTACCACCTGAATCTGGAGTTCCACTGAGTTTCAGCTCACTGTTGTACATGTATCAGGTGTTTTTTGTTACTTACCTACCTAATGTCATTTTTTTCTGAATGTATAAGTTGTTAAGAAGATTGTCCATCTATTGAGTTAATATGTTCGACATTATTTTATAGCAAATGAATGAGTTTCTGAATGACGGAAATGTCTGGGTTGTAGACGGTGGCCATCCAGGACTGGATCAGGTCTATGTATATTATAACATGAATTACATCACTTCTTACTGAAAAGCAACCCATTTACGGCAATACAGTCTAATGAATTGGGCCTGTCTATGGCTCACACGCAGATTTTCATTTAACTGAATTATTGCGGTAAATTTGTTAAATTGAGGAAATCATTGATGCACTGGAGGTTATGTAACATCACAGGTGTGAGCTCTCATTCTATATCAGTTCTAGATATAACAACTACACATGCTACAACGCAATGGATACCAAAAGTCTATGCCACTTTATAAACCATGTAGATTTATTTTTGTGGCGTTACTAGACACCCTTCAGGTAGTCATAAAGCAGGAGCAGCTTCTGCTGCGATAACAGCAGTACATTAATCATGGATCAGGCTACCAGCTCAAGTGGATTCAGGTTGTGCTGTGACTCTTACCTTACTAAAGACTTTGATCAGAAATTTCTGCTAAGATATTATGTCACTGTTACTCTAGTCTTACTGATCTTTTTGGACACTTAACATTGTTGCAGCCACCAACATGTTACAGCAGGGGAAACACAACATAAAAGTATGCAATCAATAAATTTGAGCTGATGACTTGCTGTGGAGAAAGAGTCGTAGCTGGCAGCAGGCTTCCTTGTTCCCACCCATGTTGATAACAAGCTTCAGTTTTTAACCTTTGGAACCAGTCAGCTTTATTATACTGTTGTTTCTGACTATAGTCGTGTGCTACTTCAATACTTTGTGCCTGCATAATCAATTCTACAGCCAGTTACACTGCAAAGAAGTCAATTCAGGCACTTTCAGTGTTGAAGGGGGGTTAACACATTTACAAAGGTGTAACAAAGGTATTTACTTTAGTGACATCATGCTACATGGGGAAATTTGAATTTTTCAGGATGAAGCATACTGAATTTCATAGGAATATAGTTTAATTATTTGTTGCTGAATCAATCACAAAACTCTGCGTTTTAGAACATTCAGTACTTCAGTAAATGTTTTCCCACAATGCCTGGTTCTCAGTAATTGTGTGGTAAGTGTTCACTGGTTTCTACTTTTTAAGATTAATGAACTGTTTTGGCTAAAGAAAGTCATATTAAGTCCAAGGTGATCAGGATCAGCCTTAAAACCCAGCATGAGTAATTCATATAGTCAGAGGATGCTAATTCCCCCCAGTGTCATCAAACCCCCCAAATTCCCAGAAAAATTACCAAGCCCATGACCATGCCATACTGCCATATAGATATGTCATCAGTAAATTTCCATCTCAGGTCAGGAGGGCTCACTGAATGACGTTTTTGATGATTATGGAAATTATGTAAATCATATGCTATGGCCTTAACAGTCACCAGATCTCAACCCAACACCTACATAGATAGCGCTCTCCAACATCGAAACACTAAATGTGGTGAAATCTTTTGGAAGAATGCTGTTCAGAAGAGTTCCATACACTTAGAGAGCAGTGAAGCTGTCCTGGAGGCTTGTGGTGGAACAGCACCTTACTGACAGCCAAGGTGCAAACAATGCAATGACGGGGAAGGGGTTCCAGGTCATAAAGGAAACCCAGAACAGCGCAGGTGTGTTCAGTGAACCAAAGTCTTACAATGCTTAAAATATCCTTGCTTGTTTAACTGTCTGTCTGGATGCAGTCTGTAGATGATGATAATTTACTCTTTCTTTCTCTTTCTGCAAATATCTCCTATCTCTTGCTCATACTGACTGTGAATGAATAGCATTCAATAAAGCAGTAGTCATACATTTGAAATAACACACCTGGATTTTAACATGTTTCAGTTACCTACCCAGGTAAAACTCCTGATTTCCAAAGTGAAAACAATTGGCATGCTTATTGTAGAAAAACTTACAAAAGACTTAAAATGAAATAATGAACTCTATATTGATGTCAAAATGTATCTCTATAAAAACTAATTCTCAATTTCACTGGTCATGCTTAAGCACCAGTGTTAGCTAACTGTTAGGTTAAATATAACATTTTATAAAGGTAATAAAATGTCAAGCCAACATCGGAAATGGTAAGGTCCATTTTAGGGCTGTCTGAAATCGTAGTTCAAGATTCTTGAGGGATGCATATGTGAAATATATTATTCCTCAAGTCTTCATTAAGGGCGTCAGACCCCCCAACCCCCCCTGTAATTTGAACTACTGTTAATGTTTACAGTTTTTCTTCATTGCTTAAACACTATAAGCAGGCTATTGAACTAAAATTCCAAAGCCATAAATAAATTTTTCAAAAAGCACACCCATTTCTCTAAACACACAAATCCCTTCATTTTTCATTGCCTACACCATGTGGTCATGAGAAAACACTCAACATTCAATATTGTTCACTCAAGTCAGCATAGGGTGGAAACACAAGGAGTCAGAATTCATAACACACCAATCAGAACCTTCAACAGATGGATAAAAGGGCCAGAGTCAGTTTATTCAGTTTTGGAACAATGGATCCATATAGATATGAATGAAGATGTAAAGGACACCAGAGAGGAGAAGGAGGAAGATGAGGGTGAGGAGGAAGAGCAGTATGTAGAGAGGAGTAGGAAGGAGCAGGAGGAGAATCTCTGGGGCAGAGTAATTAGTGGTTTGGTGTGTTGTACTGTACAGTACAATAAGAAATAAAAAATGTCTTTTGTTTTATTCATCACGTGAAAAGGTTTTTCAGGGGGAGAACCACAAGCAACATAACCAGTAACCAGGTTTTGTAGTGTTGTTTTGAATTTATCTCACCAGGGTGAGATGTGGTGCAGGGGTTCTTAACCTTTCTGGCAGTTCAACCCCTTTTTGAGGATGAAAATAATAGAAAAAAGAGCCTTAATTTCAAGAAATGTGTTTAAGTAATTGAGTAAAACTGTAATTTGTCACCCTTCTATAGCTAGAAAATTCACTACTTCCCAACAATGCACTCATTGGCTCATACTCTCTCTCTCTCTCTCTCTCTCTCTCTCTCTCTTTCTATATATATATATATATATATATTAAAATAAAGGCAGCTGCATGGCATGCATGGAGCATTGCACTTAAGCTTTAGAGGTGTACCCAAGCAAGATATATGATCAGCAGACGCAGGGGTCTCAAGTTGAGGGTGCCCATAAAACCTCCACAGGTGCCAAAGAGGCGTTCTGATCATATGGACCAACCACCTCTGTAGAAGAAAATAATTTTATCGACTTGCTGTTTTCTGTATCATTTACATGAACCCCTGATATATTGTTAATTTTCCTCTTTGTTTCCTTTTTTTTTGCAAAAGAAATCACAAAAAGCATAAAATAACACAAAAGAAACAAAAATACATAGCCTCCAACATAGTTCAGCTGCAGCCGCAGTATAAACATGAAGGTAGTTGAATGTCCAAATCTGGTTCACAGGCTGCTTGGGTTAGGCTACAGAAGAAGCTGCTCCCAAAACGTGATGTCATTTATCTTGGCTGGAGTTTGTGCAAAAAATTCAAAGATGGCACAGAAAGTGAGAATGCTAAACTTCAATAATGTGGTAAATGGACATCATATATAATAATAATAATCTTTATTTATAGAGCACAACATTACAAAGTGCTTTCACAAGAGCTAAGAAAATAAAACACAGCAAACAAAATAAGATACACAGTAAAAGCAGAAAGTTATGAAATTAAAATACAGTTAACAGAAAAATAGATAATTAAAATCAACTAAAATCAGGAACAGCCTGACCTGATTTCCTCGGGCAGGCTGTTCCAGAGCCTCGGGGCCCTGACTGCAAATGCTCTGTCCCCTTTAGTTTTCAGTCGAGACTCTGGAACATGTTGAGAATATTTCTTAAGCGGCTTTGTTGATGTAACAAGGAAAGGTAAGACAGTTCTAGCTTAGAGTTATTTAGCTGATCCCATAAGTGTTTTCTGACCTTCTAGCGCTAGGTATTTCCCACATGTAACAGTTAGACTGATTAGTTAGAGACAGTAGCTCAGACGTCATGCTAGCAGAGATCAGTGTTCTCTGTGAATCTTACAAGGTTGGGTCCCACAAGAATGTGGCTCCACAGATTAGAGTACTCATGTATAGTGATAGATTCCAATATGATGAAGCACTGGAGTCTAAACATCAGATAGATTAGTTGTTCTAGGTGAAAGATGACCTAATGGAGAAACCTACAGGCACTAGAACAACATAAAAGGGACCAAAAGATGTTCTCCTTCAGATTTGGTGTTGGCATTTGACGTGTTCACATGTTGTGCTGGCACTGTATCTCCTCGGCCGGGCTCAATAAACCACGCTATGTTAAGTCTTCATCAGTCTCTGAAACTTCTTCACACCTGAACATGGCTCACAATATTTCTTCAACAGATCAGACAAAAGACCTCTGCCCGAGGATCTAAAGGTACGTGCTGGTGCGTATGGGACTAAAAGGTCAACGATATAACAAGGAGAGAGGCCATGAAGAGCTTTAAAAGTAATCAATAAAATTTTAAAGAGGTAGTATTATGCTTTTTAGCTTTTTCCCCCTCCTTTATTAAGTTATATACCCAGAGTGTGAAGTATACCATGGCTTTCGGTGGGAGCTCACATTTTTTTTCACTCTCACAGACCGATTCTTACTGCTGAATCATTAATAGCTGCAAACATGTAGGCCTGGGCTGACTGTGAAAGTAGGCATGTTTGTCTTTATTATGA